AGCAGGACAGCAGGACAGCAGGACAGCAGGACAGCAGGACAGCAGGACAGCAGGACAGCACATTAGGGCTTGGCACTTGCATAGGGGAAGCAATTAATAAGTGGCTACTCATGTGTTCCCCAGCCCCAGCCTCTCCCTGCAGCCCCCAATTTATTACACCAGGCCTTTTCACAAGGCGTGCTTGCGCTCTTTCCCGTCTCAAAAAAAATCTCCCAGCCTGTGTTCGCATGTTTCTAATGTAACCATTAAAATGTAGCCCGAAGACAGCAATAAAAACCCTGGAACGCCTTGGTGCTTTTGTGTCTTGATCAAAGTCAATGTGTGTAATCTCGTTAAGACTGCCCTCCTTCCCCCCTCCTTTTTTATGAATTTAATGGCATGCAGCAGCTGGGCTCAGTGTTTAATGCTCACCAACCTGCATTGTTCTAATTAAGGTATCTCCTTTTATTTCGGGCACAAAAGAGACTCTTGTTTTTTTTAACAAGCGAGGAGCTGTGGGATAGTGTGTGTAATAATCGCCACTGTTACCTTTCCCTGGGAATAAAGCTGGCTCCCCAGCAGGGCAGGAGGGGGATCGGAGGGAGCCTGCGCGTGTAGCACACATGGAAAGGCTTGGTAGGGGGAGAGGGGCAGCGTTTTTCTTCTGTTGTGCAATAAACAATTCGTTGGAGTTCATGGGAGCTGGGCCTGGTGGGTCGTGCAGGGCTTCCAACACTGGAAAGCAGCCATCTCTGCTGCTGCATCCTTCATATGCCTCTGTTCTGTGCACTGACAAATCTGGTACTGAGTTAGAGTGTGAGTGGGTTTGCGTGAGAGAGGAGAGTGGTGCATTGAGTGTGGCCTTGGAAATGGAGGCTCCACGTGCCTGGGAGCACTTGTTAACCTGAGTGAGATGTTGAGGATAGGATAAAATCTGATGCTGACGTTTGTCACGGAGCAAGGGAGAGAAAAGTGATTTTCAGAGTTTGGGGTTTGGGTATTTTCTAGGATGCAGTACTGGAAGAATCTGAGCATCTCTAGTATCCTCAGGTTGCTGTCGTGTCTGAGGGCACTGGTGAGGATTAGGTCTGTAGAGCACTTAGGCTCCCTGAAAACACTTCTTGGACTTCAAGTTCTTGACGTCCAGTTGCAGATTGTTACTGTTCTCCCTCTGGTGGAGGCAGGGAGGCGTTTGTAAACACTGCACATGGCTGCTGGGCTCCTCAGCTCAGGTACTGGAGCTCAGTGCACCAGACTGACTCCAAGTCCTGGCAGTGAAGCATCCACCAGAGCTGGTTCCTTCTTTCCATCCTGTCGCTCTGGGTTTGCTGCAGAGCAGAAAGGGGCCCTGAAGATGAGTTAGGGGAACAGAGATGGTGGTGCTGGTCAAGTCAGCCAGCACATCAGTACCAGTGGACGTTTGCAGACAGCTCTCCTCTCATGTGGCCTTTGAGGAAGTGAGGATCCACCCAGCACCAGGAGTAGAGGAGTAAGGAGTTTGCTCTCCTTCCTGAGGGCTGTGGTGTGGAGCACACAGGCGTGGGGTGTGCCATGCATACCACATGCATTGAGCAACTAGCCACAACACTCTGGTTGTGGCTTGGTCCGTGTTGGTCATTGCTTGCTGGTTGTCTGTGGCACCTGACATCGTGGTGTACATTCATGTACAGCACTAAGTGCAGACAGAGGGCTAATGATAGCATCAGGTTGCACAGAAACTGGGATTTGAGTCTTGAGTGAGCTCGCTGCCATCCCTTGTGGGAGCTGGGTGCCTGCTCTCAGTTGGCTGTTGGACTGCTTCCACATGTGTGGCATGAATCTCCCTTTGGAAGATGTTTGGCTGCCCCTTCTCTATCCTTTCCCATTAGCTGAGAGGCCCCCTGCAGCTACTTGGGGGTGAGCCTATTTTCTTTCTCTTGGGATGAATGCTCTGACAGGAGAGATGGGTGATCTGCTGCACTGCTTTTCTGGGGAGGTTTGGAGCCACTGTCTGTGGTGGTTTGGGAGAGCAAGTTTGATGTGTGTCTGTCAAAAGTAATTCAGGTTGAGGTGATCTTCCCAGGGGAATGGATTCTTGAGTTCTTGAAGGCCCTTGGAGCTGCCCTTCTGTCATCTCCCAAACTCTGGTATCCTTCCTTAGGAAATGAATTAAGAGTGAAGTCAGGCTGCTGTTGTCCAAGCTCAGAGCTGTTGTGGGTGTGACGTGCAGGGCTGAAGGGGGAGGTTAATTGGAGCAGGTGCACTTGGCTGAGTTTCCTTCTGGCCTGTAGAGCCAGAGCCAGCATTTCCCTTGTGCACCCGCTGGTCCCAGGCTCGTACTTCCCTGTCTCAGGCTTATTCGAAAATGACGACTGCGAGAGCAGGAAAAAATCGCTTTTAGAAAGCCTTCTTCATCACAGAATGTGCTTTCAGGGGATCCATCAATAGGTGCGCATTCTCTGCAGTTGACACGTTTATGTCTTTGCTAGATGACACCGCTGCGTTCTGAGCCTTTCAGCTTTTTCCAGGCTGTAACGCTGCGCGTCCCACGCGGGCTTGGAGCATTTGTCTAAGAAACGGTGCAGATCAAGAGCGGGTCTTCAGGGCCTTACGGGGCCTTCCTGAGCCGGCAGCTGCATGGAGGGCGCTGCGCTCCGTCCTCTGTGGTGCCCAGGTGCTGTGGGGCTGCCCGCTTTCTTACCATGTATTTCAGGTTTGGCCTGCAGCGCCCTGCGGCAGCGAGCTCCATGCTGTGGGGAGGCTCTGTGGGAAAGGACGCTGTGCCGTTGGCTGTAGCCCTGCACCTGCAGGTGTGTGAGAGGCAGAGGGCCCCGGCTGGATACGTCACCCCAGGGCTCAGCTGCCCTCCTGGCAGAAGCTGGCTCTTGGCTCCCATCAGCTCCGTTTCTCCTTCCTATAAAGCATGGAGCTTTGAGCCCAGGCTTAATGGTGGCACTGCGTAGGCGAGCTGGCTGTGCGCTTCTTTCTTCTCTGTGCCTCTTGGCGTATTCTGTTTGCAAACAGCCCCACGGGACAGCGGGAGGTGCCTGAGCCCTTCCCTTTCGGTGTTGTTCCCTTGGTCAATTCACAGCAGACATCACGCAATTATTTTTTTTATTTTATTTTAAAGAGCAACTTTTAGGCAGAATCCTCCAATCCTTCCTGGCACCGCCTGAGCCCCGATGACTTCTCAACATCTCAGCTCTCGTTAATGTATTTTTCAAACTGCTACCCCAAGTGATTAGCCCGTATTGTGGATCAATCACTTGCCAAATTTTAATTAAGAAAGGAGGAGAAAAAATAAACTCCTTCCCCGTTCCAACCCCTTTGCTTTGCTCTGTAACAGCCCCGGAGCAAACTTCTTGCAGCAGAGCTTTATAAACCCCTCCAAAGTGGGCTTTATAATGGAAAAGCTGAGGTGGCCTTTACTGCAGCACACGCAGCTATAACACATCAAGGCTTTTCCATGAAGCGATGATGAAAGGAGCAGAAGGACCTGGAAAAAAAAAAAAGAAAAAAAAAAACGACCGAAAGAAATGGCCGACAGGTGGGACTTATTATTGCACAGTGTTTTCATTTCAAGGGAAAAGTTTAGTAACCCCAGCTGGCAGGTGAGCAGTGGGGGGGCACACTCATTTTCATTGTGCCTGTGTGTGTGTGTACAAGTTTGTGTGCCTCTCTGCAAGACGGAGGAGCTGAAATGCTGGTGGCAGGGAGTGTTGTGCACTGATATCAGAAGTCAGGTGTAAGGAATGGGGTTCTAAATGATTTCAGTCTAAAAAGGAGTAATCAGGACTCAGTTGTGAATTTAACACACTGCTATGGGGAGAGGATGATAGCTTTGTCTATAAGAAAATGGGTTCCTCCTGGGTACAAAGTCAGTGTTTTTGCTCAAGCTGTTGAATGCCAGAGAGTTCCAGAGAGATCCAGGAACTGGGCCTCAGGTGTCCAGGAAGAGCCCTCGCTGCGTGCAGGTAAAAAGCATCCATTGCTCTGTGGTCAGGTCAGGTATTGCAGAGTAACCAAACTGGGTCCATCTGTGTGTTGCTGGGTCCTGCCTTCTGGTGTGGTTGAAAACGTGGCTCTGAAAGCCCACCTGCAGCTCTCACGTGGGGAGAGTGGAACCCCAAAGCCACCAGCATGTAGTGCAGAAGGGGCTGAGGTCCTGGGGTTGGGCAGGATAAGTCCACCCATCTTCTCTTTCCCTGGGGCATGAAGGAATTGCGGATGTGACCTTGCTTTGCTGCTGAAGAGGGACCTGGACAGGGCATCTTTCCTTCCAAAATGTCCCGTGTTGAGCTGATTCAGCCTGCACAAGGGAGGCTACCTGGGGCACAGGGATCACACAATCCTCCTCCAGATCCCAGAATGGAACAGCGTGGCCCTGTGCAGCACGAGGGGGCATGGGGCAGTGCTCAGCCCTGGAAGTCAGGGCAGCCCCATTTCCTGCGCTGCTGGTGCTGGAGATGGGCACAGCCCCACGGCAGCTCGCTCTGTCATTTTTTCCACCAGCTGGCTGTCACATCTGCCAATCTGAGACTGACCCCGACTCTTGTTAACACCCCATTGCTGTCAGGCTCGGTGACAGGCAGCACACCCGCTGCTGGTTCGCATTGTGTACTGCTTGTGTCAGCCTCCCGCTGCCCGGCCCCGCTTGGAGGTCACTGCTCGCAGCTCACCGGGGCATAGCAGGCCCAACCTCTGCCCCCCTGTGTGCACAGCATGGGGGGAGCAGGGCAGGGATTCCTTGGGGCCCGCAGCCCCACCTGAACCACTTTGGTCACTCGACAGCTGTGCTGCTGGTCTGTGTTCTGCCCTGTTCAGCCCGGCTGGGGGGTCAGGGGGTGGCCGTGCTGCCCCTGCTCTGCTGTGTGAGGCTGAAGGTGAGGTGGTGGGTTGGTTGGTCGGTGCTGTTCCCGCAGTGCATCACGCTGATGCTGTCGTCCCATCTGCTGCCCGCAGGGTGCCAAGAAGCTGTGTCCCCAGTGCAACACCATCACATCCCCCGGAGACCTTCGGCGCATCTACTTATGAAGGACGCAGCAGGAGGGCGGCTCTCGGCTCAGCTCAGCGCACCCACGGGGAGAGGAACGACGAGGAAAAAAGGAAAGATGAAAAAAAAGCAAACAAAAAGACGTTTTAAAAACGTAAGGAAACAAAACCAGAGACTCCAGACACGGACTCGAGGACGCGGGAGCAGCGAGAGCCCCAGCTCCCACCTGCAGAGCCCCTCTGCAGCGGGCGAAGCCGACCCCGTTGTTGTGCAACCCCTTTTTTACAGCAGTGTTCCCCACCCGCCGCGGCTCGGAGCCCTCCTCCTTCAGACTGTGTTGTGACCACTCTGCCCCAGGACGCTGGGGAAGGGACCCTGGGCAGCAATGTTAAATAACCTGTAACTCGTGTCCTTCGTTCGGTTTTCGTTGGGTTGGTTTATTGATTTGGTTCTGTTCCGTTTGGGTTTGGTTGTTTTGTTTTGTTTTGTTTTTTATTGGTTTATTTTTTTATTTTTGTGGTGTTCTAGTGATTAAAAAAAAAAAAAAAAAGTTTAAAAGAAAAAAAAAAAAAAAAACCCACACCCAGGCAGAAATGAAGCACATGTAATATAGATTATATATGTTTACAATGTTGTGTATAAATGGGATAGACTCAAACATTGCATACTAATAAGTTTCCCTTTTGTTTTTCTTTTTTGGGTTGTATTTTTTTTAAAGAAGAAGAAAGAAAAAAAAATGAGCAGAGAACATTAAACCCATATTTTTCTTGGTTCAGCAAAGTTTTGGCATTAAAGTCATTAGTTTAAAAAAAGTATATATATACATATATATATAATATAAATGGTTTAATGTTCTGTGGTGTATATTTCCTCATTCAGATATGAAGTTAACAGCTTTTAGTAATGGCTGTAGCATTGCCCATAACTTACAGAACTTATGGGGAGTAGAGGAGGTGGATTTTTGTCATTAGTTGTAGCTAATGGGGCTATTTATAATAGAATCGTTATCCCCGGAACCACGCGGCTCTCAGCTCCCCCCAGGGGGCCGGGCAGGGCAGGGGCCCAGCAGGGCAGCCCCATAGAGCTCTGCCCCAGGCTCTGCTGCACCCCTTCCTCCCCCCTGGGCGCAGGGCTGGCTGGGCTTGGCTTTGCTCTCCTCCCTTCTAGGTCACGTTTTCTGGCTGGAGCTGCTCCACGTGCTGTGGGGCAGGGCTGTGCCAGCCTGAAGTCGCGGGTCGCACAGCCCCAGCTTCTTCCACGCCGTCCCTCATGTTCATCCCCATCGCCCGTACCCTCAGCCGTAACCAAAGCTGCCATCTGGCCTCTTCTGTTGTTCCTTTTCATTTTCAGGACCCAAGAAGCAGCTGTTGATCCGTTTCCTGTGAATGCATGCTCCCTGCCTCGGCTTTCCTCTCACCGTGGGGTCTGCTGGGAGCTGAGCTCCCCATGGGGGATGCTGCTCTCCCCATACCTGAGGCATCACTCTGGGCACAGCCCTGCGTGGGCAGCACAGCCATGCACTCTTGGTTCTGGGCGTGAAGCATCTTGGCTGTGGCTGGTAAAGGGGAGCTGGAAGATCAAGCACGCCTTGGGCACAGCATGTCCTGTGGGGGCACAGCGTGTCCTCAGGGACCCTTTGCCACCTGCATGCCATGAGCCTGGTGCTTTTTTGCAGAGCTGTTTTCCTCAATGCCTCTTGCAGTGCTTTCAGAAGGATCCCACTGCATCCCCCCAAACCAGGATCTGTGTTCTTTAAGCATCCAGCTCACGGTGTCCGGCTTTGTGCTCTCAGCAGCCTTTGCCATGGAGGATTTGCAGCCTTCCCTGCTAGGAAGGGTGATGGGGGGGACCTGCTTTTTCAGGGGGCACCAAGGGTTGGGAGATTCCAACAGAGAAAACAGCTGAGGGCCCAGCTGGGATCACAACCCAGTTGGGGTGCAGTGGGCTGGAGGGCAGATTCCTCCCTCCCCGCCCTTCCTTGGAGCCAGGGTTCCTGGTGGGTGTTGCGGACCAGCTCTGTGTACCGATGTGTAAAACCATACGTAACCCATCCTTGTTCCTTCATTTGGGTTCTTTTCTGTTTGGTTTGGTTCTTTTTGGTCTTATGTTTTTACTGTAAAGCCATCCCCTGTTTTCAAGGGGGGAGGGGTAAGGGAGGGGGGGGGGGAAAACAAGGGGGACGCACCGCCTCTCCTGTAACGATTTTAATCCATTTAAAAAGAAGAAGGAAAATAAAAGAAAAAGGAAAAAAAATAGTAAATAAAAGCCCGGAGTTACCTATCTCTGCCCAAAGAACCCAGTTGCACAAAGCGATATTGCGGTGTGTCGATGATTGTGTGTCGGTGTATATTATACAAAGAGGTACTTGTCACTCCCGTTTGTAAACTACATTTGACATTAATTAAACACGTATAAATCTTTGGGGCGTGCCGCCTTGCTCTCTCTGTCTCTCCTTTCGGGGACTGGGGGGGGGGGTGTTGGGGTGGCATCTACCTGCAGTGCTGCATCACTGCCCCAGCACGGCTGGTCCCCCAGCAGAGGACACATCCCGGGGGTCTCCCCCTGTGGGCATCCACATCCTTGGGCGCTCTGCTGGGAGGCCCCCAGCCCCAACAGATCCATAATGCTGCATTTGGGGTCACGGTGTGGGGTTACCGCAGCAGCTGGGGGTGCAGGGGGGGCTGGCGCCGGTGCTGTCGGTGTACAAACATCGCGCAGACGGATCGATGGCTGCGTCCCGCGGGACGGGATCCCCAAGGCCGAAGTGGGGGGGAGAGAGGGGGGGCGTTCTGGTGTTCTCCCATCTGCTCCGGCCCAGAGGGCGCAGTGAGGGCTGGGAGTGCCCCTACACACCCCAGCCCACCGCCAGCCCTCCGCCCTCACCGATATTGTATTTGAAATCTCTCTGGGAAGCGGAGGGCGGTGATGTATCGGAGGTGTTATTGAGAAAATGCAAATGCGTAATAGCGGGCGGCGGGGGCCTCGTCCATCACCCTTCTGGGGGATCCATATCTAATTAACGGTAATGAATGAGGGAGCCCACCTAATGACAGCCCGCCGCTTTGTGATGGAAATGAGGCAATCCCATTAGGCAAAACACTTAATTAAACAAACCGCTCGGAGCGCGGCACGGGGCAGGGCCGGCCCTCGGGGTACCGCACGTGGGGACCCCCCGCGGGGCTCTCCTTTCCCAGCGCGGTTCCCGGCGGGACGCGCGTCCTCTGCTCCTGCTCCACCGGCACCGCAGCAGGCAGGGCTCGAGGTTAATTCCTTATCAATAGCGCATCGGCAGCTCATCCATCACCGGGAGGGCGGGGCCGGGAGGATCGCGGGGCGCCGCTCCCCGCACGCCGCACCGAGAGCCGCTGCTGCCCCCTGGCGGTCCGCGCTCCGCCGCCGGCCTTGGCCACGAGAGCTGACAGCCCGTTTGCCGTCCCGGGAAGGCAGCCCTCAGGCCCCTCAGGCAGCTCTCACGTACCCCACACACCCTCTAAAGCCGCACGTTTCAACTCCGGGGCCGCTTCCTGCCCATCTCGGGGCAGGGATTCAGAGCTGGCCGCGATGAGCACACGGTGCCGACACAGGGTAACCTCTCACCTTACAGCTGTTCTCTGCCTTTATCGTCCTTCGCTCCCCCCAGTAAACAGCCAAAGCCAAATGTGGCTGAAGGGCAGTGCAAGGAGCTGCATTTGTGCTTTGTACCACCAGTACACGGGCAGCAAAGACTGATCATCCAAAGAGAACATTACGGGAAAAACACTGGATTTCACGGTCAGCTGTGGGCTGGCTCCCACAGGAAGTGAGTTAAGGAACACCCAGTACCAACCACAGCTCCAAAAGACAGTTTCATTTTCCTCTGTGGCTCCACCTTTCAGTTTCTGGGATCTTTTGGATTTCAGCTGTGCTGTTTCCCTGCATTTTCAGACTGTAGAATCACCAAAGTTGGATGCACAATCCAGGCTGCTCAAAGACAAGCAGTAATAAACACTCCCGAGGAAAGCAAAAGTACTGAGAACAACACACAACAAGACAGAGAAGAAACAAGGCACATCCAAAAGGTTAACAATTTTTTTTTTTTTGGTTCAAGAACACAAAAGTTACCACAAACATTTGAGGTCTGCTCCAGGGCGATGGAATCAGTGCTTTGGCTGCTCTCAGAGCTTTCATGGAACCAGACAATGCCAAGAGATGAGGGAAATCTTGGAGAGCTACTTCTGTTTGCTCAATGCAAAATGAAAGAAACAGCAGAAAGGGGAAGAAAACAAAGAGACTGCAGAGTGTCTGCTGTATTGTAGAATCAGTACCAGGCCACAGAACATCACACTGGACACGACACACAGATATGGAGAACATCACAAGACAGGAGGAAACAAGCAACACTCCGTGTGAAAAAAACCACCACCTCAGGGCTCAGATTGCAGCACCTTCAGTTGTTTAAATTACTCTAGATCTACTTTTTGCTATGTTGTGGTTGGCTCTCAGACTTGTAACTGATGGGGAAGAAAAGCACAAAGTCTTTGCTTTCCTCCCTTCAACGACATAAAGGCAAAGGGGATGGCATTCCCCACACAATCTGAGCAAGCAGAGGCAAACAAGGGAGGCCGTTACAGCACTAAGGAGGCAAAGCCCTGACACAGTCAGACAGGAAAGTCGTACAGAGGGTGCAGTAGTAGGTGGGATACACCCGCAGATGGCTGACGTGAGCCGAATCTGCAAAGTCCACAGCCTTCACAGGGACACCGAGCCGCTGCCGCGCGTCAGCCATGTGCTGAACATCACTGGCACTGATGATGGCATCCGCCTGGGAGTAGAGGTAAAGCTCCGGCCACCGGGAGGGTGCCTTCAGCAGGGCATCGTAGTGGCTCTCGTGGATGAAGCGAGTCAGTGGGTACAGCAGGATCTGCAGCAGGACAACTGCAGTAGCGAAAGTGAGCATAAGGAGATACCTGAGCAGCACGTTTGTGGATGTCAGGACAGTGGCCAAGGCACGAAGGGCTCCTCTCAAATTCCTTCTGCCAGGGGCACTATCAAAAACAGCGCCTGCCACTTTGAGGTTCTTAAAGGGCTGCTGAGTGTGAAGCGCCTCAATGATGTAACGGTAGAGCATGGCACCACCGTTGCTAAAGACGTGGAAAAGCACCGGCCTGTTCTCAATGCTGTAGTCAAAGAGCAGCTCCAGGAGTCTCTTGGCTGGCGTGTGGAGGGATTTGAAGCCAAAGCTCTCAGTGAAGAATATCGTCCTCCACGGAGCTGTGTAGCGGATGACAGTGCACCCCTAAACAGAAAGAGAACCCACACGTATTTGGTTCGGGCTGTAAATCATATGGAGCAGGCGAGCTGCTGTACCACAAACTGACATTTGGAACACATTTCCAACCGAAATCATGGGGCCAAGAGACTCTTCAGTGCTATTAGCAAAGCATCAGCACGGAAGGCGTTGGACTCGATGATCCTCATGGGTCCTTTCCAACTCAGAATATTCTAAACTCTACGAATGGGATTCTATTAATCATAACAGTGCAAAGACTTATCAAAAGCCTTCTACAACAGCAGCAGGCTTGAATGATGTCCCAGATCCTTTCCAATCTTCTGTTGTCACCTAAACTCAGCGGCATTATGCACCGACAAACACAAGGCCAAGGCACCAAGGCGGCCTTCCCTCCCAGAGCTCCCTTGTCACTGAATTAAGCAGAAGAGAAGATATCAAGTTCTTCAAACCAAGCTCTCTATACTGCCTTGCCAGGGTTGCAGCCACTTCCTCATTATGGCTCTAAGAAAAGCTTTCCTATCCTTTCTCAATATCAGCAACTTTCCAACAGAAAAGTATTTCCACAGCAGTTGGTGTGCTGCCACAATGTGAGCCTCACCCAATCAGCAGCATCTCTTAGTTGCAATAATTGCTTAACAATTAATTCTTCACCAGAACCAGCCGATCTGTGACTCTCACACTGGATTACACATTAACAATACACTTGTTTATGTACAAATTTAACCACCTGTAGTTGAAACAAGTTTGGATAAACATTCTTGCATGCTGACGAAAAAAAAAAAAAAAAAAATCAAATACCTCCCAGTACCACAAGCTGGGGACATTCCAGTAGGATAAATGATTAGAAAGGAAGATACCATAATTTAAAGAACCAGCATCTAGACAGACCTCTAGTTCAAGTTGCTAACAAGCAGGTATTTCTGTCACAGGGCACCTGTTTCAGACAAGTTACAATAAAATTGAATGAACATTTATATGAACTATCAGCAGAGAAAGGAAAAGCAGGAAGAGCAAAAGCTGCTGATACATCTGCTGTGCCCCAGCCTGGCCTTGCAGTCTATGCTGCTGCCCATCAGCAAGCAGTAAATGCATTTCCTTTCCCAACATATTTCCCTGCTTGGACAGCTAATGCAGTTAACTTTAAAAGCCTCAGAACACTCCAGTGATTCACAGAACCACAGAAAACTTCTCCAAGGCAGTATTTTTATCTCAGCTGCATGCACAAAGATGACATCAGCAGCTGTTAGGTAACACTGCTGCTGGACACAAGGATCTTACAAGGACAACAAGAGCTCACCACCTAATGACTTCAGATGCAGAGGGTTTACAGCGATTTCACCAACACGCAGCACAAAGACAGCGTAGAACAGGGACAGTGTCCCCAAGAGCTGTACGACAGTGCCACGAAAGCAGAAGCAAGCTGCTCACCTTCTGACTGTACAATGCGCTGTACTTGGCCAGATGCCTGTCCTGGCAGCCTGCCCAGCCCAGAAGGATCACCACGGGCTGCCCATCTGCGTGCCCTTTCTCCGTGCTGCTCTCTGAAACATTTTAAATTAATTAGCCTCGAGTCTGCTAGGATCTGAAGGTGAAGCAACTTGCCTGGTGACAAAGCTGAACGTAACAGACGGCTCCCCAGCCCGCTGCGAGCTCACGGCTCCTGTCTGGGCGAGCACAGCACTCTCAGGAGCACCACAGGCCTCGCTCCCCCTATGCACCTCCAAATACCCCTACGGACCCTCTAACCCGGGTCCCACGCTCCCCAACCCCACGAACCCCTCAGGCTCAGCCTTCTCCGCCCCCGGTTCCCCCCCAGATCTCCTCTCGATCCCGGTCCCGCACCGCGGGCCGCCCCCGGCGCCAGCTCCACCACTGCCTTCAGCCCGCGAACCCCCATCGCTGCCCGTTGCCCGCCTCGCAACCCGCTGCTTCCGCTCTCCCCACCGGAAGCTCCGCCCCCTCACGGCTCGCAGCCAATAGGAAGGAAAAGCACCTCTCCCGCGTCATCCTTCTTCCCCTCCCCTCCCCGCCTCCCACTTCCGTAGCAACGCGCCCTTAGCAACAGCCGTGGGTCGGGCGTCCCGCCTACAGGGCGAGAAAGCTCCCTTCTATTGGTCCGATAGGAGGCCGCGGAGTGCGAGGATTGGCTGGACTAGGTGTCGGGTTATTCGGCGGGTGTCCGCCCATCGCGGGAAGGTGAGGGCCTCGGGGCCGGGCGGGCCGTGAGGGGCCGTGGGGCGGGCGGGCTGCGGGGCGGCGACCGTCAAAACGTTTTCAGGATGCGCTGTAGCACGGAATGAACGAGTATCATGTGGGCAGGGGCTGTTACGGCAGCAGCCAGGACTGATGGACCACAGCACCTCCAGCAGACCGGTGCCGTCCTTCCTGAGCTCGTTCTCCTTTGCCGTGCCCTAGCGGGCAGCCTTTCGTGCCGCCGCCGCCCTCGCGTCCTCAGGACGGAGCTGCTATTTCTGAATAGCGGCCGTGAGCGCGGCTTTCGAATAGGACAGCGTTATACCGGCGGCTTCTCCAACATAAATATAGAAGCCTTAATTTAGAATCAATTTGGGGACGTCTCAGGCTGTAAAGTTCTCTTAACAAGATCTCTGCCGAGGACAGAGCAGCTCTTTATGGGACTGTAAATTTCGTGCAGACGGTCCCTGTGAAACGCAGGCTCCTTCTGCTCGCTGGCTGTTCTCTCCATATCAATCATGTGCTTTGCAAGTAACGTTTCACAAATATTCTGTAAATCACAGGAAAATGCTTGCAGCAATGTGAAATATGACTTTCACTTGACTGTTTCACCAGAGGCCCCTAGAAGGCCATTCTCCTGTCAGCACTAACATTTGTTATGGCTAATAACACTTTCAATCACAACTATTTTGGGAAAATGGATTTATTTTCAACCTGCTTCCCCGCAAAGGAGATCCTGAGAACGCCCTGCCAAGGACACGGGCTCTTTGCAGAGCACAGGCCGTTAATTCCCAAACAAAATTTCATCTCATCGTAGTTCTCAGTCCCCTTAGCCAACTTTCTGAAGCCTTTGCTTGTTTGTTTCCCACGGCCGAGATGCATTTCCACCTCTCAGGCAGCTCCTGACAACAGCAGTAGAAAGATATTTTGGGTGCATGTCGTGGGGATGTCAGCCCCCACTGAGTGCATGCTCACGTTGGGCAGGGTGGGCTGGGGAGGATTTCATACTGAAATAAAAGTGTGGCAAAGTAATTTGGTAAAGTGCAGACTGCTTTATGGGATTGAAGGCAGTGCAGACAAGGGGTGTTTCTGGATCTCCTGCTTTCTTCCACAAAGCTCTTATTAATTCAGATATTCATAGCTTTTTCATGATGCCCCATGGAAATCTCAGAATGAGCACGTAGAAATTAGACGACAACAAAACAGAGCTAAAGTCCACCGTGCCGAAGGTCCCCAGGCACTCTCCTTTTGCCAAGGCCAAGCATGTCCTGCTGGAGTGGATTTAGGCCCAGTTCAAACAGCTCAGTGCACTCACAGGAGAGCCACGCTGCACTACCAGGCATTGACCATTGACCCTGCCACTCCCCATGAATCTGCACCCATCTGTGCCCTCATGTCATCCTACTTACTTTTGGGTAGGTCAGATATGAGAGGTAGTGTTCTTGTTGTGAAGCTAGCAAGAAACCAAAGAGGGGAGAATTAGTAACATCAAAGGGACTGTATTAACACAGCAGAAAAGAGAATGTATGAGTATAAAGGAAAATGAGACATAATTAATGGCTAGAATTCCAGAGATATTCAATATGATGGTAGTTCCTTAATACAGATTTTTTTTTCCTACTGTTAAGGCCTTTATTAAACTTCTTTCTCATTTTTCTCCAGGCAGAAGAGATCATGACGTCTGCCAAAGAGCAGGAGGCCATCAGGAAGCTCATGATTTTCCTTCAAGAATGGGACAAAGCTCACAAAGTTGCTCGAAGCCACATCCTAGACAACTTCATTAGAAGCAATAATGGCAAGACAGAACCAGAGCTGGAGCTGGAGTTCTCCCAGGGAGCCAGCTTGTTTCTGGCTCGCCTGGCAGCATGGCTGAGGATGACGTATCTGTTTCCTTGGAAAGCCGAAGGGGGCACATGGGAATGGGATGGAGAGGAAGGGAAAGGTCTCTACTAAAAAAAAAAAACTGTATAAAGAATAAGCTTCTGTATAAAAATCCAGCTGCAGGGAAGGAAAAAAAAAAAACCTATCTGAAAATGGAACTAAAGTCACATAGCCTGTCTCTCAGGGACCTAGAATTAGGAACCTGGAATCGGGAACCCCTGCATGCCTTTGAGAGGAAGGTCCGTGCTCCCTCTAACAAAGCCCAGGTTCAGACCCCGACATTGCCAGAGTTGCCTGGGGAACACTGAGGCAGTCTGTAATTCTCTCCTTAGCCTTATCAAACAGCTACATGTACAGCACGTGCATCAACAAGCTGCTCAAGTCCATTGGCATCTTCTTATCTGCTGCAAGCGGGTGAGTACAGAATGTCACTGCCTGAGAGGTGCTGTGGGGAAGCAGCATGCAGGCAATGGGGTTGTGGCTTGCTGTAAGATGCTCTCAAATCCAAATCCACAGCTTGCCCACATCCAGAACCACTGGGTCATTGGCACAGTGTGGAAAGAGCACACTGGAAGCCTGAGCGCAGAGATGGGGTTTTCTGTGCCTGTGGTTTAACATCTGAAACGAGCACGGGGTACAGCTGTAGGTGTACACACTGGCAGTGAAGCTCTGTCCCAGCTGAGCCTCAGGTGCCTCGTGTTCACAGTGTCCAGGTGCCATCGCACTGCTACAGCGAGCTGGGCTCGCTCAGGAAGATGTGCTCCAAAGCAGGTGACGTTTTTGGCTTTGTTCCTCCATCCGTGCAGACGCAGATACATTATTGAATTTCTGGAGACCGGAGGTGTCTTGATGCTCCTGGAAATACTAGGGCTGAACCACCTGAAAGAAGAGGACAAAAGGGAGTCTGTAAAGCTGCTTCAGCTCATTGCAGATGCTGGCAGGAAGTACAAGGAGCTCATTTGTGAAAGCTACGGTAGGCAGTGTGTCCACCTGTGCTTTTTTCCTGATTCAGGTGAGGCTGTTCTCCCTGACCTCTGGTCCCAGGGCTGCTTGCAGCACCGAGCCACTCCTTCTGCTGCCGGACAGCGGATTGCTGCAGCTGTTGGGCTGACTGGAGGGAGCTCAGAGCTCAGCTATTGTTGAGCAGTCATATTTCATCCGTTGCTCCGTTTTTAATGAGCTCACTTTCTTTACAGTCATTTCTTTTGATGCACTATTGCTGTCCCACTGCTCCCAACTGCTACAGCAAAAATCACACAGCAGTTTCTATTCTTACCCACAGTTGCCTACTGCAAACCTTCCCAGCCTTCCCCGCTGGAGGCTGAGGCTTTTGTGGCACGTATCTTTTCAAAGAACAGTAGAATAATTTTTCCTATTCTTTTTTTTTTCCCTCCTGTATGGTAGAAGCCAAACACTGTTTATCGCCCTGTAGTTGGGATTATGGCTCACGTTGCCGGTGGCTATAGGGTGATACCTGCTGTCACAGCTTTCTCCAAGAGAGGTGGAGCAGCAGAGGGACCCTTAGCAGTGCTGCTGGCACGCGACTTAGCGCCTTTTTCTCCATGCAGGTGTGCGATCCCTTGCTGAGCTGTTGGCCACCTGCAGCTCAGCGGAGGCTCAGGAGGAGGTGCAGATCTTGCTGGCCTCTCTGGGCCGCGGCAACCCCAAGTACCAGAACCAAGTGTACAGCGGGCTGCTGGCAGTGTTGCCACGCGGCTCTCCCCGTGCCCAGCGGCTGGCTCTGCAGACACTGCACAGCATGCAGGTGAGCGGTGGGGGCAAAGGGTGCCTCCCTTGTGTCCCCGGGAGTTGGGCAGGCTACAGTTATGCCAGAGAGAAAGGCCTGGCCCCATTCCCAGCACTAGTTAGGGCTGCCTATGCCTATGGGGGGACAGCGGGGAGCACTGCGCGCACCCGCCCCCCACCACCCACCCTTGTCCCGCAGGAGCAGCTGGGAGAGACGCCCTCGGCTGTAGTGGCGCCGCTGCTGGCAGTGCTGGGCTCGGCGCACCCCGAAGTGCAGTACGAAGGTACGAGCCGTCCCACGGTCTGGCGGGGGGAGGGCCGCCCCGCGCGGGCCTCCGTAGGCGGTCGTTAGCCTGCAGCTCATTAACATGCGTCCGATTTGTATACCCAGCGTGCACCGCGGCGGCGCGACCCCGACAGCTCTGTGCTGCGCCGCCGCTCCCCCGGGCAACGCGGGGCTTTGCGGAGCCGGGAGCGGTGCGGGGGAGCGCGGGGCCGGGATACGAGGAGAAGAGAGCGGGGCAGGAGGAGATCGCCGTGCGCTTAGAGAGGCGGGAGGACAGGGGGATGAGGGCCGAGGGAGAGCAGGGTTATACTCTGGTTTCTCTTCAGATCGTATAAATCTTTCGCCTTTTACTAAAGATTTCCGTGGAGAGGAACAAGCACGAGTGTCGTGGAATTTTTTGAGGCTCCGTTTCGGCGGAGCTATCCTTGCTGTGGTTAACGATAGAGCAAAGGTTTCTGGGTGCGCTGCGAGAGCTTCCGTTGCTGCTGGGACGTTCCGACTTTGTTTCACCTTTTGCTTCTCAGCCCCGTTAGCGCAGTTCCGTGCTGCCCGCCCGCCCGCCACGCTCCCCGGCACACCCTGAGTCCCGCGCGCGCCGCGCTGTGGGCCCGCCGCTCCGTTCGGCGGGGCGGGGCACCGTCCTCATATGAGCGTGGGGGGGCGTGGCGCATCGTCATTAGCATACGGCTCGTTAGCATACCCAGCGTGCAGCGCGCGGTCCCGTGCGTCCCGCCGGGCTCCGCCGCCCCACGCGTGATCGGCCGCCGGGAACTGACGGTGCGGTGCGACGCGGTGCGGCGCGGCGCGGCGCGGAGCCAAGCTGTGCAACCGAGCGGAGCAGAGCGGGTCGCCGTGTACTCAGGGAGGCGGGCGGGCAGTGGGCACGGGGCCGGGCAGGGGTGGGGGTATACTCTGGTTTCTCTTCAGATCGTATAAATCTTTCGCCTTTTACTAAAGATTTCCGTGGAGAGGAACAAGCACGAGTGTCGTGGAATTTTTTGAGGCTCCGCTTCGGCGGAGCTGTCCCTGCTGTGGTTAACGACAGAGCGAGCCTAGGGGTGTTGTTCGGCGCCGCTGTCGCCCCGCGTTGGCGCTCACAACCGCCCGTGTCCCGCCAGGCACCCAGCTGCTACTCGCCCTCGCCCGCCGCGCCCCGCCCGCCCTGCTGCCCGGCCTGGTGGCGCTGCTGACCCCGCCCCGGAGCAAAGCGCGCGCCGAAGGTAAAAGCCGTGCTACGGCAGGCCGCGGCGGCCCACGCTGTGCGGGCTGTGCTGTGGCGTCGTACGGCCTGCCGTCCCTTCTCGCGTCTTATAAATGTGTCAAAGCATCGTTCTCACTTTCCTCGTCTTCCTCCTGCAGACCCAACGCTGCGCCCGAGGGAGCCGATGCCGGCCCACGTTCAGCAGGCAGCTGCTGCTAAAGCCGTCGGGTAAGGAAAGCTGGAGTAAAACCCACAGGAGCATGAGGGGGGGAGGCAGAGAAACATCTTCCTTTCAGTTGTATAGCAGGATCAAATGCACCCTCCGTGGTTCGCTGATGACACCAGGCTGAGTGGTCCAGTTGACACAATAAAAGGGAGGAAAGTCAGCCAGAGGGAGCTGGACAGACTCAACAGTGGGCACATGAGAACCTGCCGAGGTTCAGCAGTGCCGAGTGCTGGGTGTTGCACTTGGATCAGGGCAATCCCAGATACACGTGCAGACTCCTCGAGCGCAGCCCAGCAGAGAAGGGCTTGGGGATCCTGATGGACAGGAAGCAGGACATGAGCCAGCACTGCGCTCCTGCATGCTGGAAGGCCAGCTGTACCCCGGGCTGCATCAACAGGGGTGGCAGCAGGAAGGAGGAGGGGACCATCCCCCCCTGCTCTGCCCTTGTGAGGCCCCATCTGGAGCACTGCATCCAGGCCTGGGGCTCCCAGCACAGGAGGGATGTGGAGCTGTTGGAGTGGGTCTAGAGGAGGCCACTAAGATGGAGCACCTCTTTTAAGAAGAAAAGTTGAGGGAACTGGGCTTGTTTACCCTGGAGGCTCCAGGGACACAATCACAGCCTTCCAGTGCTCGAAGGGAGCTTACAAGTAGGAGGGGTACCAACTTTTTACACAGTGTGATAGTGATAGAACAAGGAGGAATGGCTTTAAGCTAAAAGAGGGGGATTTAGGTCAGATTTTAGGAAAAAAATTTTGATCGGAGGCAGTGAGTCTCTGGCACAGAGACCTCAGCCACCCAATGGAAGAATGTAGTACCTGTGACTGACCACAGAATCCTTACATTGGGCTGCTTGTGCTAAAGTCTGTGCATTTATTATGAATTTCCTGCAGTGTCCACAAGATAGTGCTATGAGAACATTTCTACAAAAGCAGATGAGTTTAGTGGGTACAGGGACATAGTCTCAGTGACATTGCAGTGGTTCATTGCAGTGACATTGGTGGTGGTTCTGCTTTGAGCCCTGAGTTCTTCACATTCATGCAGGAAGCTTTCTAGAATTTGTAATGCACCAGGAAGCTCCTACCAATAACGTAATAACTGTTTCTCAGCCAAAAACAAACAAGCAGAAAAACCACTAAGTGATTGACAATGCACAGCCAGTCAGATGCTTGAGATTCTGTCTTCTGTCCATTGATGCTTCCATGGGGATCACACCAGATCTGTACCAAGAGGGCCAGGCTCAATTTATTATGTGCCCCTTCCCCTGCACAGGGTAGAGGCTGATGGCCTGTCCTATTGCAGCATATTAGCCAAGGAGTCAGCAGAAGTGGCTGAAGAGCTGATCCAGCTAAAAGTGGTGCACGGCCTGATGGTTGCAGTGGGGAACCTGGATTATCCACTCAGCCAGAGAAATGCCAGCATCTCCCTGGAGGTGAGTGTGATGGTATGCAATCACAGCATACAGATAGATGACATCACAGCATGCGGTCTCTTTCCAGAACGCTTGAACAGAAATGCTCCATGCACTGTTTTAGTGAGGTTTTTGTTTGTTTCTGAGCACAACAGACAGACTTTACAAAGGCAGGAGTAGCACTTCATTCTGGAAATAGCTGTACTACTTGTTCTGTGTGCCTTTCTCCTGCCAGCTACCACAGAGGGTACTGGGAAGCCAGTGTTCACCCTCACACACCTGTTCTACTCTGCAGCTTGCCCTGAGGCACACCAAGGTAGTTTCCCTGGATCTAGACACTAGTACAGAATTATAAGCAGGTTACTTTGTCCTGCTGGTGCTGCTTAAAGAGCTTTGGCTGCCTCAGCACAGATCTGTGATGACTAGGAAGACGAAGGTCCTTACGGTGAGCAGTGGGAAAGGCACAGAATGAGGGACAGCTGAAAAATCAGCCTACTCAGAGTGACCTGTCTGGTAATGCAGAGGGTCAGTATGCTGTTCACCTGAGAAGACAGCGGAGTGGAATAAGGTAGGGCTCAGAGCAAGGACCAACAAGTTCCTGTACACAGAGTTCTACCTCTATACACACGTGCACATCCCTTATCCCCATTCACTGACTCTGTTCCATTGCAGTACTTTGTCCGCACATACCCCTCTGTGGAGGAGCATGTAAGGAAGGCAGTAGGACACATGCTGTTCCAGCTCTTTAAGGTAAGCATGCCTCCCTAGCAGAGTTTATCAGTGGCACTAGAAGAGCTTGATCTGTTTTGCAGAGGTGTAGGGACTGTACTCCTCATAGAGAAAAAAATCCTGTCTTGAGTAAGAGCACAGAAATGAACCAAGCCCCCCTTGGAGAAGTTTTCACCTTCAGGCTGTGCTCAAAAAGATCATTTCTCTAGTTCAAACCCTGAAGAGAGCAAGGATGGATCTCAGACACCTGAAGAACTTCTGCAACAGCAAGATCTCTGTCAGAATGTGACAAGAGGTGACTCAACTTCCTGCAAAATCAGGGCCCTCTTGCCTCTAGCTCCTGGAGTGGTGATACAGAGCACTAAGCCAAAGTAGGTCTGGAGAAGAGCAGAGACAGCACTTTTTTCATTGCACCCAGGTCCCTCCTGTTTTACCACAAGCTACCTCTGATCAAAACTAGACATAGCTAAGAGTAGTAACACCAGAAACAGCAGCTTTAATTTAAGCTCAGTAGGGCCCAACAGCCATTTTGCTCACTGTGCTGCTGTCTTAGTATGCTGCACCAGGTACTGCAAGATAACCTAGCACTATTGCTGCCTCTTCCAGGACTGTCCTGAGACCTGGTACACAAAAATAGATCCAGTCCAGGCTGAAGAATTGGCCTCCAATCTAGTGGACAGCCCCAAAGACATGACAAAGATGCAATCTGCAGAAGGTAGGCATAGAACTGGCCTCAGTCACTTAAAAGCCCCAGTTGTTTTGGACTAGTATCTCCCTCTGAAATTGAAGGGAATAGTCTGTGGTAGGAGGCAGCCAGGAGACCAGGGCTGGGGTCCAGGGCAAGAGTGAGTAATGATAGATTGGTCTTTGTGTACTCTGGTATTTGTATGTCTACACACTGGAGTTCTTGGGGTAATTTTGTCCTTCTGGAGATAATCCCTACAGTGAACAAATAAGAGGCACCCATCAGCATCACCTATTCCTATTTGTCTATCCTCCATCCTGGCCCCTCTACCTGCTCACCTCCAGAGAATAAGATGTGTGGGGCTATCTGGACCAGGCCACACACACAAGGGTCATGGATCCCAACTTGCTACAGCTGAGCCAGTAGCAGCTTTACTCTTCTGCCCTTGAATACAGGCTTTGATGGACTGCTCAACATGGCTTCTTATGCAGCATGTTGACTAGTACATGAATTAACATTCTGGGCCACTCCTGAAGCCCAACTAAACTACTTAGGTGGGAAGAAGTGACAGGGTGTTGCCTGCCTGCTGCTGGAAGAGCTGATCCACTCCCTGAAACATACTGAGCTTTACTGAAGTAGAGGAGGCTTGTTTAGAGGCCCTTTTTCCCCCCTTGCTTGGGAAGTTCTACGCCACAGGATCTCAATTAAAAGAGAACATTTATTTTAAATTATTTTTATGCAAACATTACAAGTGTAAAGACTTCAAAAATAAATCTACTAAGAAATTAGGGTACCTCTACAGCACTAGACAGTCTGCAGGGACTGTTAAGACTTTAGCAAACATCAGCAAGAAATGTTTTAAGGTTTAAGTTAATTAAATACAGGAACATTTATTTAATTGAAAAAACATCGTAAAATACTGATTATCTTTTTTAAACCATTACATATAGTCCATTTTCTTCCTAGAAAAAGTTCTGCAGTGTTTTCAAGCACATCTGGAATCAAAAATTACATGTACATTAGAAAGTTGTATGTGTATCTACTTCTCTAATAGAAGTCCATTGTCATTAATAAAGGACCAGATATGAAACATATCTAGCAGACTCTCAGCCCTCCTCCCCCAGGCCTTAAAGGGGAGCTTTCCAGCAGAGTCTCTACAGAGTACCCGATACAAGACACGAAGAGAGATAGGCTGCAATGTTTGCTTCTCTCAGGCACCCTACTGCATTTAATAGTAGTTACACAAACCACTGACAAACGTCCAAGACATACAGAAGATTGCTTGCAAACCAGGTCTTGCTGTATTTACTGATGCCTCTGCTTTCTTATCTTCTTGCTGGCTTGCTCTTCTAGTTGCATGGCTACTTCCAGAGCATCCAGTGTTTCTGTGAAGGAAGAGAGGAGTGACAGGGTTACTGATCTGAAAACTGAACTCCCTGGCCCAACTGCTCCACTCAGCAGTTCAGCTGATGCTCTTTTTACTCTGAAAATGCAGACAATAAGACCAGTCCAGCCTGGTGATCAGCTAGGAGTGACCAGAGGTATAAGATACAGGCTGGTGTTACTTCAGAGTTAAAAGAAGATTAGTGGAAGTGCAGATTAAGAACACACCTCCTGAGTAGACACTACCTCGAGAAGTATTAACATACCTCTGGCACTAAGAAAGTTTCTTGAGCTCTCTTCTATGAAGTACTTAGCTCTGCTCACAAATGTCTCAAGGTCATAGTCTGGTTGTTCTGTGATTCCCAGGAGGTAGTCAAGCTCAGTTGTCATTTTCTGTATTTACAAGAATGAACATAGTAAGAAACTGATTTTCTAGAAAGTCAAGTTTCAATGTGTCTGGCACACCAAAGCAACCGAGCTGAGCTTCTACAGACAACTTTATCAGTCTGTGCTCATTAGCAGCAGATGGAAGTTGCTAGGTGGAAGAGACAGGGACTGGCTGGTCACAAGCACCAGAATTCCCCAGTTTTACCTGTTGGGCAAGAAACCACAGGGGAAAAAAAAAAAAAACAGCAGTAAGGGAAATGTAATACCATTTAATTACAGCCCACGGCCTACCCAGCAGCACTGGGTTCAGACAAAGCAAGCTGCTGTCAACATGTCAAAGCATCTTGAGCTGGGCTTCCCTCTTTACCTGTCTCAGTTCTCGAAGCTGTTCTACAACCTTCTCCTCCCGTTCACCAATTTGACTCATAGCTTCACGGAAATTAAACAGGTGGGGACAGAGATCTTCCTCCTCATCCTTGGACAGCTGCAACAAAACAGCTTAAGTAAGAACAGCAAGTTGTTTCCAGCTTTGAGATCTTTTCAGCCCACTGCACACACATACGCTGCGTCGAAGACCTGAGCTTTCTTCCCTCATTTCTGTTTCCTCAATCTCCATTTGATTCTGTGTTTCGCCACCTCCATTATGAGGACTGATCTCTTTCACCCTGCAACAAGAATATTTGCCACTTAGTATCTTTCAGCAATTTCAGGGCTGTGGTATCACAAGGCAGCTGCTGTAGTTCATCAGTGCCCAGCAAAAAGCATTTGGCTTTATTAAAAGAAATTCCAAACACTGTCACACCTGGAACAAGCTCACATAGAAACTCCAAAGGGCTGGGAGAAAAAAAGATAAAGATGTTTGTTTGCACATCCAGTGTAGCCATATCAAGCTAGGACCTCTCCTGGAGAGAAGTGCTGAATACACAGTACTAAGTGCCAGTAAAGCCTTTCACAGAGACACGTCAGCTTGGTCTGTCACAATCAACTAAGAGGACTTAGTATGGAAACAACAGGAGTAAGGTGGTTTCCTTCCCTGTCTCAAGACTCTATAATGAGAGTCCTTATTTTGTCCTTATTTTGTAATAAGGACAAAAGTCATGGCTGATGACATGGAGCTAGGTGTCAAGCATCAGCTAGGCACTTCATCCCACTTACCAGCATCAGCTTTGTATTTTCAGTGAGTTTTAGCCTACCTATTCCCTATCCAGTGGCCTGAACTTGCCTTGTGCACCAGCAGTGAAGCCAATGGGAGGAAGCAAAGCACAGTGCAAGTGTGCAAGTCAGATGCTTCATTTTGTCTTGTGCTTTCAGGTGATCAGGAATGACTGTCCACCAAAAGAAAAAAAAGCAACTTCAATCCTGAGCCTGAACCAAACCTCTGAAGATTCATTGTGCTGCTGAATGTTCAGACTTTTCTCTTGAGTTTTCCTGCTAAGGAGGGGACCAAGAGGCCTTTTATGACATAAATGAAAGCTACAAGGTCTGAAGTACACAAGTTTTATCTTAACATAGGACAAAAGTCACAGACTCTGCAGCCACTGTACAGAGCCATGCAACACAGCATCAGCAAGGGAAAATTCAAATACCACTGATCCTGGTGAAAGAGGGAAGGCTTTAGCTGTTTCTTTAGCTGTTGTGCTGACATTCGAAATACAAACTGCTTCTCTGCAACCAGAGTCTGCCTATCCTTTTTCACTCATCATTTCACTGGAGATGTAAAGGCTGCTCTTCACAGGTATTCCAGGGTTCAGCAAGACCCCCAGGGAACTCTAGAGATCTGTTCCTGCAAATCTGTCTTACAGGTGCCCAAGACCAACCACGGAGCATTCAAATCCACACTCCCACCATCTGCTTCCAAGCACCTGAGTTCTCTGGGTTCTCTAGATTTCATTCAAGTGGTATCATACCCTACTAGCTCATATTGAAGTCCACAGTAAACACCTAGTGGTGCTGTGCATAATCTGTAGGGTTATGTCAGGGAATGTAGTACAGCAGCCTTATTCTTAGTGCACACTATGGGTGGAGGTCACCACTCAGGACACTGCCAACAGGGTGTACTTCCTACAAAAAACAGGGCAGTTTGAAGCCTACCATGAGACACTCTTCCTCTGAAGAAAGGACAGTCAAAACATATTCTGCAGTAATAGTAGAATCCTTAAGTCAGAAAGTCATACCTGTCAGCGTATCTCAGTGTGTTTAAGGTGTACTCGCATGAACTCATGCCTGGAGAAATCATTGCTATCTGCAAACAGAAAGCCACAGTGAGTTCCATGTCTGCCTTTTGCTCAAGCTCTTGGCCCTGCAGATCTCAGCAGGCAGCTGGGACATGTTAGGGAAAAGGGTCAGAGTTGAGACATGGCCACGTATGTTTTTCTGTACGGCTCCTATGGAGCAGAGAAAAGTCTGTTTTCCACTGACTTCTTGTGCACGCGTGGTGCTGCACCTTCCCAGGAATTAGGTGTGCTTTGAGAGCACACCATGCACTACTGCAGATCCACTGTATGAAAATGACTTGTGCTGCCTTCTTCCTACTGAGACTGGAGCAAAGTTCACTGCAGATTTGACACCAAAATTCCATCCTAGAAGAGGAGGTGCAGCTACCTGGCCAAATTGCAACACTTGCAAACAGTGAGTGGGTTTAACTGTATCACAAACATACTTACCATGCAGGTCCTTGAGTTGGTTCCTATGAAAGAGTCCCTCAGCACCTGGGTCAACTTGCTTTCACGGAAAGGAGTGTAAGATTTGTTCTGGCCTAAAGCTCTGATACATTCCTAAGAAAAGACAAGTTTTGTGAGCATAGTATCTGTATCTCTTGGCAAACTACAGCCACCAGCAGGCTGGAGAAGAATCATCTCTATTGCTCTCTACATGCTTCCTAGCCTTGTAAGTACACTCCACATATCTGACCACCACAGATACCACATGCCATCATATGTAGAAAACAACAGAAACACAAAAACAAGCCAACTTGAATGAAGCTTCAAATGGCTGTGACAGCATTAGACTTGATGAGACTATGACAACTGTACTGCCTTCCTGGAAACATACTAAGAGCAAGCATAATACATGTGATTTACAGGGTTATTAAAATACAAAACTGAGATCCTTTTGGCTATTCTTTTCCCTTGTGCTGGAAAGAAACAGAGTAGATTACCTCAAAGTCAAACAAAATCCTGTGCTGATTAGCACCATTTGCTCTCTGAGCTATAGCTCACCTTCAAAGCCAGCAAGCTTTTATTGATTTCTGCACCTTCCATTCGTGTCTGTCGATCAGCACTAGATGTGTCTGCACCTCTCTCATTTCCTGCCAAATCCACCAAGGAAAATTTGCCAACCAATTTCCCTCTCTGACGTAGTATGATTTGGAAGCAGGCATGTGACCGTGAAGAGCTAGCATTTGCAAAAGTCTGCCCAGATGTCCTACAGCAAAGATGCAAACAAGTGTCAGAGCTGCACCATTGGAGATTCAAAGGTCCCAACAGCATTAAAGAAAGCCTGCAGCCATTTAATTAAGTTCTTTAACCCACACAACAGTACCTCAGGTTTGCATGAATTATGGAATCACTTCTGTTACCATGCTGCCCAGCTCAACTCAGACAGCCTACATAAGAATAACTTTGACTGCTAACACCTCATACACATTCAGAGCTGGAAGAAATACCTTCAGCCCAGCATTTTCCTGCCACTAAACATTAGCTGTGCTAGCACACTGCAGTCATTGTAAAT